CCCACCTCCCACCCCGGCTACATGGTGCTCCGTGAGGGTGTGTTGTGTTTTTGTCTGTAGCTGTTTCTTTCTGAAGTTGTGGCGGTGGGTGTTGGGCGTGGAGTCTGCACACATCGTCACGGTGAAGGGGAAGGATAATGAGGTTCTGTGGAGCTGCTGGGGAGGTGGGAGGGCTTGTTCGGGGTGGGTGGTGCTTTGACCCCGGACCTCTTGTTGGGGAAACCTTGGCATGACATCTTTGATGCGCTCAAAGGGGACAGTGCGTATGTGAACATGGGGACCGGCTGTACCAAGCACAAGGCTCGGATGACCAGAGTGGGAACCCCCCTCTGCCCCCCCCCCGGGAATGCGGCTGCCCAGATTGACTCCAGAAGAGAACATGAAAGGACCAGTAATAGTGAGATTGAAATGAGCTGTGAAAGATAACCCAAAAGCTACCATCACAGATGGCTTTATAGGTCAACAGAAATCCTATGTGGAGTAACAGGTGGGTGAGTTCATGTTAGAAAATGACTACTGGATCAAAGGAGGAAAAACCCAAATGATCATCTACGTCCATGCAGAAACAGCATCTAGTTACCCCCATTTCCTCCCAGAATGAAAACTCAGCAAACCAGAAACAGAAGGGTTTATCCTGGGAAGGTTTGGGGCTTGTCCCACGTTGTGGAAGCGTCTGTGTTGACAAAGAGGAGAGCACGGGTTCTCTGGCTGTCTCACTTCTGTTCAGCGCGCGGAGTCTGCTCGTGGGCGGGGGTGCCTGGCTGCCCGGGGAGGGAGGATGCTTTGACTTTTGGTGCATAAAGACAACAAAAAAGAAGCGATAGTGTAAGAATTGGACAGGAGGAAATAAACTGTCATTTCCAGCTGCTATAATTACCTACACAGAAAACCCAAGAGGAGCTGCAGGGACGGTGCCGGGACACGGAGTCCTCCTGCCCGTTGGATGTAAGACGGACGTTCGAACACAGGGTGCATGATCGGGTAGAGAAGCCGTGTGTACGCACACAGTGCAGTGTTACTCGGCTGTGAAAAAGGATGGAATCCTGCCATTTGCAACACCGTGGGTGAACCTCAAGGGCTTTGTGCTAAGTGAGATGAGTCAGTAAAAGACTCCCACTGTGTGATCCCACTACAAGTGGAGTCTTAGAAGAAGAAAAAGCAGTGCGTAGAGACTGAGAGCGGCTTTTTGGGTGCCAAAGGTAGAGGGTGAGAAGGGTCAAAAGGGGTAAAACGAAAAACTTAAAATTTAGAAGACAGTAGCAGCCCCAGGTGAGTGGGTTCATTAAAGTGCTCAGGCTCCTCACAGGGGTGCCTGCTGGAGACTGCGGCAGCGTCCTCTCCGAGCTCCAGACAACCCTCCGCCAGAGCCTAGACACATGGGTTTGCGCCGAAACAGTTCTGTGTGAGAGCGGCTGCTCACTGGAGTTTGGAGAGTCTGCCCTTGTGCCCACTTCCGAAGTCCACGAAAGGTGGGCATGTGGTTTGTTTGGTTTTTTGTTGTAAACTCGAGGCTTTTCCAGAATGCACATTCTTCCACATTCCCGGTTTCAAAAGGACCTGTTTGTCCCCAGCTCAACAGTACTCCTCCGCGATGCTCCCCGTCCTCATGCATCTGGGATGGGAGTGTTGTGAGTCACCCGCTTGGGCTGGTGGATCTGCGCCCAGCACGAGCCTTAGCCCGGATTCAGCCCTAGATCTCCTTCCCCAGCGCGAGCACCCGACTCCACCTCAGGAGCATGGGCAAGGTTACGGGATGCCACCTGGCCGCCTCCACCTCCCCGACTTCAGTCCTACCCACTTGCCCTCCCCCCCGCCCCTGCTCCAAATGGAGCAGTTACCAACCTTGGTCCATTTGAGGGTGATCTGTGGGAGGAGATGATAAAGTTTGCTCAGTGTTGTTCCGAGTTGCTCACTGGAAGCTGCTGACTGCTGCTGGTTGTTGAGTTTTGTTCATGTTGTCCATTCCCACGCCCTAGAAGGGTCCTACACAGATGAGGCTACAGCACGTTCCAGAGCCTCCGAGCTATGGAAGATTCTGGAATGGAGGCAAAAAAAAAGTCATCTCAAGAATCAGGTGTCCTTTGCATTGATGTAGGCCCTGCTATCCTCAACTACTTCATGTGCTTGCTGACAATGAGGCCTTTGTGACAAGGTGGAAGGCCAGGTTCTGATACAGAATCCCTGAATTTCTCAGAGTCCTGTCCCGGGACCTGTGGGATGTGGGAAAGCTGGCTGCTGGGCACACCTCTACCTGCTTCTGGGCTCTGTCCTGCATGACACGGGGCCTTGAGCACATTCGAAGGACACGTCCAGGCTCCTCACCCCCACTCCCACCTCACATAGCCTCCCTCCAACAGACACCGAGCCTTTGGAGTAGGGCCACGGAGCGGTCTGTCCTCGGGAACGTACCTGGAGAAGAGGCTGGCCCCAGGAAGCAGGCTCTGAAGGGGAACAGCGGTCAGGGGAGGACACATCCCATTGGCTCTGCGGATTCTTTACCCCATGGAGAGGTACAGCTGAAACGGGCCGGAGTGGGGGGCCCTCTACAGCATGAGGCCCTAGGCTGGTGGGTGCACTGGGATGGTGGCTCGGATGGAGGGAGAGAGAGATGAAGTCTTACTCGGTGGAACTTTGGAGACAAGGCACAGTCACGTGATTTCTTCTGGAGGTGGGGAGCAGCAAGTCTTCAGATGACGAGAAGAACAGAACAAAAGCTTCTCGAAGGGTAAGATCTGTTCCGCCCCGAGGAGAGGGGGAGCCGTGTTGAAAGGCCAGTTCGCACTTTGAGAAAAATGTGAAGGTCTGGCTTTGGGTTCCTGGACCTGCAGGATTCCCTTCAATAGTTGTCGCAGGCAGGTCTGCTCGCCACAGCCTGTCCTGTGTACCTGGGGCTGTCCTAGGAACACCTTTGTCTCTGGAGGCTAGTTTGGCTGGATCCAGAACTCTGCATGGACCTAGTTCATCACTGTGCCTACGTCCTCTCACTGCCTCCTGACTTCTGTGTTTCTGACGGGAAGTCAGCTGTCCGCCTTCCAGAGGATCGTCATAGGCCTGGAGGCTTCCCCTGCTCTGCCTCCAAAAGGATCTGTGCTTTGACACTCACTGTGCCGTGTCCAGGTGCGGACCCCTTTGGGCCCGAGGCCCCTTTGGTCCCAGTATTAGAAACAAATAAAAGCTGTCTTCAAAACCCATCTTTCTTTGGTGGAAAATTATTGGAAGTGTATTTTATCAAAAGTGACATGTTCCCACAGTTTCTTACAAGATGACGTTTTAGGCCTGCTCAGGCACCGGCATCGTCAGCGAGTGCAGGCCTTACGGGCACAACTCACCTCCTCGCTCCTGTGGAGTCAAACACGCAGTCAGCGCCCAGACCCTGCCGTCACACGCGCCCCTGGGGGCTGGTGTGCGCCACGAGGCACTGCAAGGTCCGGGGACCGCATGCCCGACCACTCGGTCAGGGACAGACAGGCTCCTGTTTGGGTGTCACTATGGCTCTGCCCTGCGAGATGGACGTTGACAAGGTGCTGAGAAGAGTGACTAGAGCGACGTGGGAACCTGACAGACGCTGGGCGACAGGCTTTAAGGAGCAGTTTCTGCAGGTTCTTCTGTGCTTGAGGTCCTGGGTCTCAGTGTTCATGCTGACGTGGCTCTGTCTGTACAATTGTTACCGTCTGGTCCGTTCTGCCTCCAGCAAGACCCCATTGCACAGGGAGGGTGGGGACGGGGGCTAGATGGAGACGTCTCAGTGAAGACCTTCTTGAAAAGAAAGTTTGGTTTCCGAGCCACGCGCTGGTGGTGCTGTTGGGAGCGGTGATGATGATGGCAACGGCAGTGTCCAGCCCCTCCCTACCAGCCAGTCTTACTGTTCTGGGAAACACAGGCCAGTTGAGTAAATTCAGCACCTGTATTCACAGTCTGGGTGCAGCCTGACCATCCAGATAGATCCCCTGTCCCTGCCTGTGTGTGCCTTCTGTTGTCCCCGATGGCTTCTCTGGTTCTAGAACATTCTGACCTCTTGTTCTCATTGCCTGGGAGGCTCTCTCCCACCTTGTAGGATTCCAGTGTGTCTTTTTGGTCTACTCAAGATACCTCTTCTGTGTAAAGCCTTCCAGACCCGCCCCCTCAGGTAGAATCAGCGGCCTCCAAACCATCCCATTCCGAGCCGCCTGAATGAGCCATGTCTGTGACACAGGAGCTCACAAGCCTGGGTCCCACCTCCCCAACTGTTGCCAGTCCCAGGTCTCTCAGGCTGGGTGCCCGTGGCTCAGAACAGCACCGCCTTCTCGGAAGTGGACACGGTCATGGACCAGGCTTTCTGGCCCCACCCACCCTTCCGGGCCTCTGCCAGCCCGGGGAGCCCACTGGCATCATGACGTGGTCTTACAGAGCAGGAACCCCCTGCCGGCTCCTGCCAGCTCCTGCCACTGGGCCACGGATTCACGCTGCTCTCTGCTGGGATTGTGCCCAAGTGGGACAAAGGCTCCTAGATGCTGGACAAGACCGGTCATTTCACAGTGGCTCAGTGTCTGGCCGCCTGTCTGCCCTGAGCCATCTGGTCCTCCCGTTTCCTCCTGCGGGTGAAGGTGAGGGGGCGTGAGGCGAGGTGGGCAGGGGCCCTGGACTGTTACGAACCCGGGGCACGTCCAGAGCCTGGTCCCCGCCACAGCGCCTTTGTGTTGGATCCCTACTCGATATTTAGAAAACATAATTTTAAAAAATTCTACTTTATGAATATATAAATTTTCACTCTTTTTTTTCCCTCATAGCACTATAGGGGAGAAGAAAAATAATGTTTATTGAGAACTTACTATGTAACAAGCACTGTAGGAAGTGCTTTAAATATCTTTTTTATTATATGTTATGCATAGTCTGTAAATGTGTATTTACCTCAGAAATAAAGCGTTCTTCACAAGTGATGGCCCTGTCGTTTTAGGTGCAGCTCTGCGTGGTGGGGACAGCCGCGGTGAATCCGTTCCCACCGTGTGTTTGTATCATTGTAGGGACATCTTAACCACACCGAGAGCCAGTAGGACTGCAAGCTGGAAGGTTCTGTCTGTGTGCCAACGAGGCTCGCCCTCAGCATGGACTGGGTGCCCACCCGTCACATCGCAGCCCGATTGCCCCGGTCGGGAGATCCCACCGCCTGCTGCGCGCGCGTCAGGAGGACCTGTCGCCTCAGTCGAGTCTTCAGCCTGACGTCCCCCGCCACACCTTTCAGACGTCTCTTTCTTGACAAGAAAATAGTCTGCATCGTTTAAAAGTTAAAAAAAAAATGTCAGTGTCAAATTTCCTGTGAGGTTTGAGGACCGTGTGGCTTCTGGAACGGTGTCCAGATGTGGCCCTGGCTTTCGCGCTTTCCTGTCGTTTCGTGGATGGATCCGGGGCTGCTCGTGTACTCTTTTGTAATTAAAAGACTTATTTTTATATTTAAAATGCTCTGTCATCTTAAACTAAATTTCAGTAAATGCGGGTATCCAGTCTGTTCTGTGTAATTCCCCAAATGAAGTTATCAGACACAGAGCCTCTTTTATATTAAAATGGAAATTTCTCATTTCTCTTAGGTTTTCTGTGCATCATCTGACTGTGGAGACTGGCGTCCTTCTCCCTGGGTCTGAAGGCTCCCTGAGATGTCCTAGTACTTACAGGCAAGGTCGCCAGGAAACCACTGGGTCATGGGACTGCTCCTAGGTCCTTTACCCTCCCAGAGCCCCCACACTCCCCGTGTTGTCCTTGTGTCATTCCCCAGGGCCATGTTCTCCGCCAGTAGCCACCCCTCAGCACTGGTGGTCTGAAGAGCCAGTCCACGCACGGCCACGGTGTGTGGTCGTGGAGGGGTTTCCCGTGGCGCGGAAGGGCCGGAGAAGACCAGTGTGGGGAGGAAGCCGGCACAGCGCCAGCCGGCTGTGGGTCACCCGGAACCGCAGGGCACACTCCTGTGTGTTGCAGGAGACAGATGAGACTTTTCTGCCCCCGGCGTCTTGGGCGGTCTGTGGGCACTTGGCCACGGGTCAGGGCACGGTCTGCTGAGCCAAGCCGGCCGTCCCCGCCAGCAAAGCCGAGGCCCAGAGCGGCGTGGCTGGGATTCGTGGCCTTGAATGTGTGCTGTGCGACAGCTGTCACGGGCTCCTCTCTTCAGGAGACACATCTTCATTCTCCGAGAAACAGTGGGCGTTCTGGAGTTCTTAGGTTCACAGCGTTTCTTCTGGGGTGAGCTCGTGCCTCTGCCCTGGCCTCACGGGGAGAGGGGGTGGCCACACCCAGACTCCGTCATTGGTCGCTGTGGTGAGGGCCGTAGCACACACTTCGCCCTGGCTACTTAAGGAATGAAAAGCTTTTCTGTCGAGAATGAACCCCGTGCATCTTCCTGCCGGCTGGAAAGCACCCACGGAGAGCCGGGCACACGGGCTGCGGGCCTCACGTCCCCCATGGCGTCGTGCTGCAGGAGCCAGTCACCAGCGTCTTGGAGCCTTGTCCCCCTTCTATCTGCACAAGGGGGTGACGGCGCACAGGCCTTGCGGGGAGCCTGAGACACAGGCGTGCACAGACGACCTCGGTGACCACTCGGGGGCCGCCGCCGAGCTCCCCTGTGCAGCCCCTCAAACCCCAAAGCAGACACTCCTCCGGAGAGCAAAAGGACACGGAAGTTAGAGCAGCAGCAGCAAGGACGAATGGGGTGACGCCCAACCCGGCAGTTTCATCATGAATCCCTCCGGTCCCCGGGTGGGGAGGGACACTCGCCACGGACACTGTGTCAGCGAGCGCGTGTGACGCATGTCTTTGGTGTCTCCTCAGCGCGTCTCGTCCACTCAGACCGGGTCACAGGCCAGACGGCCGTGGGGTCCCCATCCCAGGGCCCAACCCAGCCCGGCCTCCCCTGCCCGGCTGCCGCGCACCCCGGCCTGTGGCCTCCCCCTCGGCTCTGGGCCTGCCCCGCCCAGTCAGCCTCCTTCAGGCGCTGCCCTTGGAGGCCGCAAGGGAGATCCGCGCACAGGTGACGCCCCGTCTGGCTGTGTTCAGGGTTAGAAGAGCAATGCTTGTTCACTGGAGAAGAACGGGGGACACGGAGCCGGGAAGGCAGGCGCCATGGGCACAGATGGTGGCTGTGGGCTGGTGTGGACTGCCGTGCTGTGGCAGGGGGGCCGCTCGCTGCAGGGAAATGTGGCCTAGGGAAGTGGTGGGGACCCCATCCCAGAGCGCACCGCCCACCGTTCTGACGGCGCCGACACCAAGTCTGCCTGTCTTGCCAGAAGAGGTTGTTTATGAAGTCGGAAGGTAAGCATGGGGATGTCTTTTTCGTCTTCAGGGGTGAAGGCCAGGCCAGGATGCCCAGCGTGGCAGGCTCGAGGCCCGCATGTCATGCTGGGATTTGCTGGAAGAGTGCCCGGGGCAGCCACACGCCTCCCACGGCAGCCACCCCTCCTGGCCACGTGAGTCTGTCAGCACCGCGGGACGGGAGCACGTCGGCTAACAGGTCAATCCTGCACACACCCCACCCATGAGGCCCACAGAAGGGCTCATGCCTTAAAGTGCTTTATCTGTGTTCTCATTTTAGAAAAAAGGTTTGAGAAAGGGAGTGAGAGTGAGAGTGCTAGTGGCAGGCCAACGCAGGGAACCCAACATGGGGCTCGATCCCAGGACCCCGGAAACACGACCCGAGCTGAAGACAGATGCTCGACCAACCGAACCACCCAGGCGCCGCATCTGTGTTTCGTTGTCAGAAGAGAAGGGAAAGACCTGCCCTTGTCAGCTGAGGAAGCAGACTAGCGGTTTGTCTGTGCAGGGCCATTAGCTAAATTTTCAGTTTGTCCTTGAACCCGCACTCCAGCATTGTTCGTGTTTGGTGCAGGGACGAGAACGTCAGTACGTTCCTCCTGTCGTTTCACAAAGTGAGTTTCTGGTGGCTTCGAAACCGACAAATTCTAAAACTCTCGTTTCAGAAAACCCAAAAACACGGTTAAGTGGTTAAGGAAGAGACATTAACATCATTCAAAATGTTTTGCCTCCTTTTAATATATAGTTCACTTACAAGTTTTTTTCTTAAACATTTAAAATTAGGCCTCAAATCCATACTTAGTACAGAAAAAATTTTAAAACTATATACATCAATGAAAATGAAAAACGAACACGAAGGTCCCCCAGTCCCACCCTGATGGTAGCATGCGTGTCGCTGTAAAACTTTCCCCGTAAACATAAACTCCCAGAGACATGTACTTCTGATGTTGACATCATGCGCGTCATGAATGTGTACGGGGTCCTCTCCCTGAATGGCTGCACATTGTCCCCTTGAACGAAGTGCCCCAGGGCCTCTGTCTAGTGCCTCTGGAGTGTGTGTGTAGGTTCTTCTCAGTCCTTCATCCGTTCACTGTTCATTTATCTACTTGCTATTACAGAAATTGCTGGGTAACCATTCTTACACTTTTTCATAAAGTTTTCCAACTATTTTCATAAGAGAACATTCTACAAGTTGCATTGGTGGGACAGAGCGTCCATTCTGGTTTTCTGCCCTCTCAAAAGTTTGTTCCAAGAGCCCACATTCTTTCCGTTTCACCAATGCTAGGTAGAGCCTACTCTCTTCTTTTTCTAAACTTGGAACATTATGAACACACCCAAAGTTGGCAGAAGAAACAGTACAAGTGCCATTCATCTCTGGCAGTGCCCAGCCCGTGGCCAGCTCTGGCCGCCCACCCACTCCGTGCACTGGACGCAGGTCCCAGACATAATGTCAGTTCACCTGGAATTACTTCCATGTGACCCTCCCAGAGACGTTTAAAAAGCCATCAACCAGGATGTGATTGTTACTCCTCAAACAACATTTACAATAATTCCTTCTACTAAGAAATCTCTAGTCTCTGGTTAAATTTCTGCATGTCTTATCAATTTCATATGTGATTGATTTTGTTTTGTTTTTTATGACTTGTCTGAATTGGGATCCAAATAAGGTCTACATATCCGACAGGCTGATGAGTTCTGTCTCTACAGATTGAGGGTGTCCCTTACTTTTCCCCCCGGACTGTATTTTCAAAAAGCTCATTTCTTCGTAGAGTTTGTGTTAAGATTTTGCTAATCATGTCTCTATTGTGTTATACCTATGCCTCTGACCTCTGCATTTCCTGTGAATTGGTAGTTGATTGAAAAACTTGATCAGATTCGATTTTTATTTTTTGGCAGAAGTTCTGTTTTGATCCTTGCCCCTTTGATCTTTGCTGCTGACTTTGTTCCGTTCATCTGGTGTTTGCATTTCTGATATATTTATCGTCCGTGTGTGTATCTTTCATGAACTCCCATCTTCACCCATTTTTGTTTTGGTACCTGTATCTTTTTGTTAATTATTTTTAAGGCTTCTTTATATATTAAGGCTAATAAGTCTGTTTTTCTGTTACAAATATTTTTTCCACTTTATGATTTTTCACTTTCTTCTCAGTGATGCTTATGGTCCCCTTAGCCGCGCATAGGACTTTACTGTGCTGTCAGCCTCTTTTTCTCTGGTTTCTAGCTTGAGAATCCCTCAGGAAAGGCCTTCCTTTCTCCCAAATTCTGTACAGCATATGAATTGATATGTAATTATGCATCTACCAATTTGCATGATTCTTACTTCATTCTTAACATCTAAAACCTGGCTCTAGCTAAAAAATTTTGAGGAGCAAAGGGTGATACATCTACCTCGATTTCTTCCCCAGATATTAGCAGTTACTCTAACCACATTTTCTGCACTGATTGCAAATTCCATTTCTACCCTGACATCTAAATTCACTTATGTGACAATGGTTACACAAATACAAACTAAAATCACATTTAGTTATGACCTTTAAAAAAAAAAGAGTAAAATTATGAGAAAAGTGCTTTCTCTTCCATTCTTTGATCTGTCTTTCTCATCCGGTGGCTGGAGCTCTGCATGCGTGTGTGCGTGTGCGTATGTGCTCGTGTGTGCACGTGTGTGTGACGGGGGATGCATGTGTGCATGTAGCTTTTTTACTAGAACACCGCGCATGCGGAAAGTGCGAAGCCAGGCCCAGGCACGTATGTGTCCTCGCGTGGGCGGCCGACTTCTGTGGCTCCCGCTGTCCGTCAGGGCGCTCCCGGCTCCCGGCTTTTCTCACTTTTTCATCCACATCTACCTCGGAATCACCTCATCAGGTCTCGGAAATAAAAGCCACATAAGGCGGCAGTTGGATTGCGGCTGAATTTACTGACTAATTGTAGGATAAGCAGCTTTCCAGGACTGGGACCTACTGCCCAGAGACACCGGGTATTTTCCCAGATAAACACGTTTTATGTATCTAGGGGCTTCCTTTCCTTTCTGCTTTTGGCTCCTGTTTCACTAGTGCAGGTCCCGTACTTGAAGCTCAGTCCTAGCTGTCTCTTTTCCATTAGATGTTCTGATCATAACTGTTTTAGCAGATCGCTTCTCGGAATACTGCTGTCTACA